GTTTAAGATAAAAACTACGCACTACCTAATTAACTCCCTGTAACCTACCTTACCCCTATAATGTCAACCCATGTCTGCTATTTTTAAACAATGCTGTTTGTCGACCAAATGTATTTTTTTGCTGTGTCTGCCATGTTCCCCCTCTTTTTTATTTTTATATTTTCTCATTACATTTTATACTCTAATCTCAATTAGTATTAAGTTTTAGTCTTAGTGTTTTTTCTATCCGAAACGCTTTGCGTAATAGTGTCTTTAGGCATTGTATGTACTAGCTCTATCTATAAATTCATCAATATTTGTATTACACCTTGTATGTATGTATGTACTTTGCCTGAATAAACATTTGAATTTGGTTCATATCCTGGCCGGGGAGGATTTACTGGGCGCAAATCCTTAATTGTAGCCTCTGTTTAACTCAACAGTAAAATGGGTACCTAGTTGCACATCCTCTTATGTGTCTTATGTATATATATATAAAACTCTGAACTGTAATGTCAATCCTGACTTTAAAAGCTTCCTAGAAGGTTGTAACAGATCCCATTAGCACCACACCAGAAACAAATACCTATTTAATATTCCAAGAGTACGACTTAGTCTAACTAGAAATGCTTTACAAATCAAGGGACCTCTCGAATGTGGAATGACCTTCCCAATTATGTTAAAGACTGTACCTCTCCCAACCAGTTTAGGATAAAAAGCAAGTACCACCTAATTAACTCAATGTAACCTACTTCACCCCTAAATGTCAACCCATGTCTACGATTTTAAACAATGCTGTTTTGTTGACCAAATTGTATTTTTTTTCTGCCATGTTTCCCCCCCCCCCTTTTTTTCATTTTTTCTGATTTTTTCTCAATACAATTTATACTTTAATCTAAGTTAGTATTAAGGGATGTATTATATTAACACTTCATCCAGGGCCGGATGAAGTGTTTGCCAGGGTGCTTAAAGAATGCAAAGAGGAGCTTTGTGACCCACTGTCAACCATATTTAATAAATCAATAGAGTCAGGCAGAGTGCCAGAGTTTTGGAAAGTTGCTAATGTGATACCAGTTTTTAAGAAAGGAGATAGATCACTTGCGTCTAACTATCGACCAATTAGCCTAACGTCTATTGTGGGAAAGTTACTCGAATCTATAATAGCAAATAAAATTCGTCTTCATCTTGAAAAACATAAATTAATAATTGAGTCGCAACATGGTTTTATAAATGGCCGTTCATGTTTAACAAATTTGTTATCTTTTTATTCTAGCATTGTTGAGGCAGTTGATAGTGGTAAGGATTGCGATGTTGTATACCTTGACTTTAGCAAAGCTTTTGATACAGTGCCACATGAAAGACTGATTAAAAAAATAGAGTCTCATGGTATTGGGGGTGCTATATTAAGCTGGATTAGGGCATGGCTATACCAAAGGAAACAGAGAGTTAGTATAAATGGAATCAAGTCAGAGTGGGAAAATGTTGTAAGTGGAGTGCCTCAAGGCTCTGTCCTGGGACCTCTGTTGTTTATAATATATATAAATGATTTAGATTCAGGTTTGAGTAGCAACATTTGCAAATTTGCCGATGATACGAAAATCGGTAGGGAAATTAATTCGGAGGAGGACTCACTATCACTTCAAGTTGATCTAGATAGGGTTTTGAAATGGTCAAAGGATTGGCAGATGCAGTTTAATGCTGATAAATGTAAAGTTCTGAGGTTAGGTAATGATGATAGAGTTACAAGATACGAGCTAGATGGTGTTGTGATTGCGAAGTCGGATTGCGAAAGGGATCTGGGAGTTATGATTAGTAAGAATTTAAAACAAAAGGATCAATGCATAAATGTTCGTAATAAGGCAAATCGGACACTTGGATTTATTAATCGCAGCGTTAGTAACAAGACACCTGGTGTGGTTCTCAAGCTATATCTTGCTCTAGTTAGGCCCCATTTAGATTATGCAGTTCAGTTTTGGTCGCCATATTATAGAATGGATATAAATTCACTTGAACGTGTCCAGCGTAGGATGACTAAGTTAATTCCCCAAATTAGAAATCTTTCATATGAAGAAAGATTAACAAAGCTTAAGTTGCATTCACTGGAAAGGCGAAGAGTTAGGGGTGACATGATAGAGGTTTACAAGTGGATGAATGGACATAACCAGGGGGATATTAATAGGGTATTAAAAGTATCAACACAGGACAGAACACGAAACAATGGATATAAATTGGATAAGTTTAGATTTAGGAAAGACTTGGGTAAATACTGGTTCAGTAACAGGGTTGTTGATTTGTGGAACCAATTGCCGCGTAACATTGTGGAGGTGGGGTCCCTCGATTGTTTCAAGCACGGGTTGGACAAGTATATGAGTGGGATTGGGTGGTTATAGAATAGGAGCTGCCTCGTATGGGCCAATAGGCCTTCTGCAGTTACCTTTGTTCTTATGTTCTTATGTTCTTAAGTTTTAGTCTTAGTGTTTTTCCTGCCCGAAACGCTTTGCGTAATAGTGGCTTTAGGCATTGTATGTACTAGCTCTATCTATGAATCCATCAACTTTTGTATATCACCTTGTATGTATGTACTTTACCTGAATAAATATTTGTATTTGTATTTGTTAAAAACGATTCTTCGTGGGGGACGTATTCCAGGGACCATAAGATTAAGAACTTTCCCGAAACGCTACACGTACTAGTGGCTGTACAAGAATGTAACAACTCTTGTATATATCTAAAAAAAAAAAACTAACAGTATAAGCTGGAGGACCCAAACAGAAAACGGGATATTACATCACTGTCGTGAGTCGATTTCATTTTAAATTACGTCCATTTTTGCCCATAGCACGCATACGAGCGAAAAGCGACGTTATTTTAAAGAGGACGGGTTGTTGTAAGTGATATGTTTGTCCTGCACACCGCCCCCCATCCAGTGGGCAGCGGTGGGTAGGTTACAATCACTTAGTTATTACTTACAGTGAGCAAACTATGGATATTTGGCTAAAATTTCTGGTAGTATATAATTTTGAATGAATTTTGAATAATTCTCTGAATTCATGTATCTTTTCGCACTCCATCACATAGTGACGGAGGGTGAGTTAACAAATAATTTTGTTGACACAGTTTACATTTGGTCAGATCTACATCAGCAGATAATGAGAAGTGATTTTACTGAATGATCCATAGATGTACGATAATATAGAAAAAAAAACATTTACCCTTTTGCTCTACGCGAGGTTTCTGTCCACGCTGAGCTGGCCTTAGGACACCTGCGTTATCATTTGACAGATGTACCGCCCCAGTCAAACTCCCCACCTGATAATGTCCTCGGAGCGGATCGCGGCGGGCGCGAACACCCGGGCTTGGGGCCGGAGGAGGCCACAGCCGGAAGACGAACCAACCCGAAGACGCAAGGGCGCGATCCCCATACGCCAGGGGAGAAGGCAAGCTCCAAAACTGGGACACTCGCTCGTCGGTCATCGCCCATCGCTGCTCTTGCATGATAGTATGATGATAGATGGAATTACTGGTGTCGATTTCACTGTGACTCAAAGCTACAAGATTTTGTTGAAGTTCTCGATGTACTGCTGCTCTTAGACTACTTATTGACAGTTCAAGGTTGTACTCAATTTTTCCTTTAAAGGCAGATTCTTTGGCTAACTCATCAGCTCTATCATGCATTCGGAGGCCAACATGAGATGGAGACCACATGAAATGGACTCTATTACCATCATTAATAAGTGTGTTGTATTTGTGTCTAGCTTCAGACACAAGCATGTTACAGTTATGTTTTAAAAAGAGTTGAGTGCTATTAAGGATGATAAAGAGTCACTTACAATTAATGTGTCAAGTTTGGGAGATTTACACATTTCAGTGCAAGAATCACAGGAGATGCTTTTTAACCCACAGGGTTATAAACCCATGGAAACGCCTACCCGCTGAAGCCGTAAATGCCAAAACTCTGTTAAATTTTAAAGTCCAGCTGGAAAAGATCAAGGCAAATAGGGGTACCCTCGACAAGCCGCTGGCTTCCTGTCTTCGTCGAGGCCACTAGTGTGAGCCAGTGGGGATGAGTCTGCAGGGATCAGGTGGGAGTCTGTATGGGGATGAATCAGGAGGAAGTTAGTGGGGGGAGAGGGGGGGGGGAGTGTGCAGGGGGTGAATTAGGTTGGAGTCAGTGGGGGAAGGGTTGTGAGTGTGGAGTGGGTGAGTGTGGAGGGGTGAGTGTGGAGGGGGTGAGTGTGGAGGGGTGAGTGTGGAGGGGGTGAGTGTGCAGAGGGGTGAGTGTGGAGGGGGTGAGTGTTCAGGGGGTGAGGGGTGAGAGTGTGCAAGGGGTAATACAATACAATACAATACAATACAATTTTATTTAGGTAAGGTACATACATACAATAAATATTTACAAGGATTGTTTGACTTATAGGTAGAGCTAGTACATACAATGCCTAAAGCCACTATTACGCAAAGCGTTTCGGGCATGAATAGTGTGCAGGGGGGGGGGGGGTGTGAGTGTGCGGGGAGTGAGTGTACAGGGGGTGAGTGTTCAGGGGGTGAGGGGTGAGAGTGTGCAAGGGGTGAGAGTGTGCAGGGGGTGAGAGTGTTCAGGGGGTGAGGGGTGAGAGTGTGCAAGGGGTGAGAGTGTGCAGGGGGTGAGGGGTGAGAGTGTGCAAGGGGTGAGAGTGTGCAGGGGGTGAGAGTGTGCAGGGGGTGAGAGTACAGGGGGTGAGAGTGTGTAGGGGGTGAGAATTAAGGGTGTGTGTGTGCAGCGAGTGAGTGTTCAGGGGATGAGGGGTGAGAGTGTGCAGAGGGTGAGAGTGTGCAGGGGGTGAGAGTGTGCAACGGGTGAGTGTGTGCAACGGGTGAGAGTGTGCAGGGGGTGAGAGTGTGCAGGGGGTGAGAGTGTGCAGGGGGTGAGAGTGTGCAGGGGGTGAGGGGTGAGAGTGTGCAATGGGTGAGAGTGTGCAGGGGGTGAGAGTGTGCAGGGGGTGAGAGTGGCGGGAGCGTGCGCAAGCTGCCGCTCACTTGGCCACACAAACGTTGCCTGGTGGGAGGTGCGCAGCAATAACATGATGGCTGCTGACTCTGAGACATGGTAAACATTCCGAGTTTGCTGCCTTCAGCGCTGGAGGGACGCCGTGAGTGAGTGTAGGCGGACTGGAGGAGGAGTGAGGACGCCCTCACCGTCAAGGTGAGTGAGTGTGAGTGTGATGAGGGCGTCGAGGAGTGCGGACACTCGCGCCTCCACACCACACACTCCTTTTGTTATGGTCGCTCTCTTCCTCCTTCCTTGTTGCTGTGGCCCCTGAGGTGGCCCCTGAGGTGGCCCCCCTCCCCTGGCCCTGGCCGCACCACCGGCCACGGTCAAGGGCCCCGAGGCACTCCTTCACCTGGCCCTGGGGCCCGCGCTGCCCGGCCACCACCACCACCACACTCATGGTGACTAACAAAACCCAGGGTCTGTGTGTCGTGGGGCAGGGTCACTGTTTGTGTCGTGGGGCAGGGTCACTGTTTGTGTCGTGGGGCAGGGTCACTGTTTGTGTCGTGGGGCAGGGTCACTGTTTGTGTCGTGGGGCAGGGTCACTGTTTGTGTCGTGGGGCAGGGTCACTGTTTGTGTTGTGGGGCAGGGTCAGTGTTTGTGTCGTGGGGCAGGGTCACTGTGTCGTGGGGTAGGGTCACTGTGTCGTGGGGCAGGGTCACTGTTTGTGTCATGGGGTAGGGTCACTGTGTCGTGGGGCAGGGTCACTGTGTCGTGGGGTAGGGTCACTGTGTCGTGGGGCAGGGTCACTGTGTCGTGGGGCATGGTCACTGTTTGTGTCGTGGGGCAGGGTCAGTGTTTGTGTCGTGGGGCAGGGTCACTGTTTGTGTCGTGGGGCAGGGTCAGTGTTTGTGTCGTGGGGCAGGGTCACTGTTTGTGTCGTGGGGCAGGGTCAGTGTTTGTGTCATGGGGCAGGGTCAGTGTTTGTGTCGTGGGGCAGGGTCACTGTTTGTGTCGTGGGGCAGGGTCACTGTTTGTGTCGTGGGGCAGGGTCACTGTTTTGTCGTGGGGCAGGGTCACTGTGTCGTGGGGCAGGGTCACTGTGTCGTGGGGTAGGGTCACTGTGTCTTGGGGCAGGGTCACTGTGTCGTGGGGCAGGGTCACTGTGTCGTGGGGCAGGGTCACTGTTTGTGTCATGGGGCAGTGTCACTGTTTGTGTCATGGGGCAGGGTCAGTGTTTGTGTCGTGGGGCAGGGTCACTGTGTCGTGGGGCAGGGTCAGTGTTTGTGTCGTGGGGCAGGGTCACTGTTTGTGTCATGGGGCAGGGTCACTGTCATGGGGCAGGGTCAGTGTTTGTGTCGTGGGGCAGGGTCACTGTTTGTGTCGTGGGGCAGGGTCACTGTTTGTGTCGTGGGGCAGGGTCAGTGTTTGTGTCGTGGGGCAGGGTCACTGTTTGTGTCATGGGGCAGGGTCACTGTTTGTGTCGTGGGGCAGGGTCAGTGTTTGTGTCGTGGGGCAGGGTCAGTGTTTGTGTCGTGGAGCAGGGTCAGTGTTTGTGTCGTGGGGCAGGGTCAGTGTTTGTGTCGTGGGGCAGGGTCACTGTTTGTGTCATGGGGCAGGGTCAGTGTTTGTGTCGTGGGGCAGGGTCACTGTTTGTGTCATGGGGCAGGGTCATTGTTTGTGTCGTGGGGCAGGGTCACTGTTTGTGTCGTGGGGCAGGGTCACTGTTTGTGTCGTGGGGCAGGGTCACTGTTTGTGTCGTGGGGCAGGGTCACTGTTTGTGTCGTGGGGCAGGGTCACTGTTTGTGTCATGGGGCAGGGTCACTGTTTGTGTCGTGGGGCAGGGTCACTGTTTGTGTCGTGGGGCAGGGTCAGTGTTTGTGTCGTGGGGCAGGGTCACTGTTTGTGTCGTGGGGCAGGGTCACTGTTTGTGTCGTAGGGCAGGGTCACTGTCATGGGGCAGGGTCACTGTTTGTGTCGTGGGGCAGGGTCACTGTTTGTGTCGTGGGGCAGGGTCAGTGTTTGTGTCGTGGGGCAGGGTCAGTGTTTGTGTCGTGGGGCAGGGTTACTGTTTGTGTCGTGGGGCAGGGTCACTGTTTGTGTCGTGGGGCAGGGTCAGTGTTTGTGTCGTGGGGCAGGGTCAGTGTTTGTGTCGTGGGGCAGGGTCAGTGTTTGTGTCGTGGGGCAGGGTCAGTGTTTGTGTCGTGGGGCAGGGTCAGTGTTTGTGTCGTGGGGCAGGGTCAGTGTTTGTGTCGTGGGGCAGGGTCAGTGTTTGTGTCGTGGGGCAGGGTCACTGTGTCATGGGGCAGGGTCACTGTTTGTCATGGGGCAGGGTCACTGTTTGTGTCGTGGGGCAGGGTCAGTGTTTGTGTCGTGGGGCAGGGTCACTGTTTGTGTCATGGGGCAGGGTCACTTTGTTGTGGGGCAGGGTCACTGTGTCATGGGGCAGGGTCACTGTTTGTCATGGGGCAGGGTCACTGTTTGTGTCGTGGGGCAGGGTCAGTGTTTGTGTCATGGGGCAGGGTCACTGTTTGTGTCATGGGGCAGGGTCACTGTGTTGTGGGGCAGGGTAACTGTGTTGTGGGGCAGGGTCACTGTGTCGTGGGGCAGGGTCACTGTTTGTGTTATGGGGCAAGGTCACTGTGTCGTGGGGCAGGGTCACTGTTTGTGTCATGGGGCAGGGTCACTGTTTGTGTCATGGGGCAGGGTCACTGTTTGTGTCATGGGGCAGGGTCACTGTGTCGTGGGGCAGGGTCACTGTGTCGTGGGGTAGGGTCACTGTGTCGTGGGGCAGGGTCACTGTTTGTGTCATGGGGTAGGGTCACTGTTTGTGTCATGGGGTAGGGTCACTGTTTGTGTCATGGGGTAGGGTCACTGTCGTGGGGCAGGGTCACTGTGTCGTAGGGCAGGGTCACTGTTTGTGTCTTGGGGCAGGGTCACTGTTTGTGTCTTGGGGCAGGGTCACTGTGTCATGGGGCAGGGTCACTGTCGTGCGGCAGGGTCAGTGTTTGTGTCGTGGGGCAGGGTCACTGTTTGTGTCGTGGGGCAGGGTCAGTGTGTGGTGGAGGAGGGTCACTGTGTCGTGCGGCAGGGTCACTGTGTCGTGGGGCAGGGTCAGTGTGTGGTGGAGGAGGGTCACTGTGTCGTGCGGCAGGGTCACTGTGTCATGGGGCAGGGTCACTGTGTCATGGAGGAGGGTCACTCTGTAACGGGGGGTGGGGGGGAAATAGCTCTCTTGCCCATTATTCCACCCCCCAGTTAACTAATGAGGCCTGGGGAAACAGCTCTCTCTAGTCCAGTATCCTGTCCTCAGTTAACTATTCTAGAGCACCCCCCCAGAGTTCCTACAGCAACCTCTCTCGTTCAACACCTTGTAGCCTAGGTATTCGACTACCTAGGTGCAGGGACTACAAGGCGCCGTAACTTGATCAGCTACCCGCAACTCTAGGAGAACTCTAGAACACACTACACTGCCACAAACGCATAAGAGAAACAAAAGGGAAGAGATGAATAATGAAGTAATTAGTGAGGGTTTGGGGTGAGAGAGGTAGAGAGGTGGGAGCCGCTATGAGGGTCATTAGTTGAAAGGGAAAGTTCGGAGAGGGGTGGAGGGGGAGGAGTAGATAGGTAGAAGTAGAAAAGTAGATAGAAGTAGAAGATTAGAAGAAATGCTGCCACCATCCATTCTAGACCATTACATACAAGACAAGGAATGGAACTTGTCTGTATCACCATATTCTCAAGAGGTCATTATTAGTACTGGTATGTTTCATCTGTATCATGCACTCATTGAAATCATGAAACCAGTAACCGCAGAGGCTTTCTCACCTCAACTCAAAAACTCTAGGGAACAAAGTTAAAGACAATTTAAATAATAAATTCAACAATTATATTTTTCATGATAAGTATCATAATTTAAACCATTCAACTTAATGTTCAAGATACAAAGTGAGTCATTATCCAAGAATTTGAGAACACTACAACTAGACTGTCCCTGATCCTCACACAACACTTGTAAACACGACCAAGTCACCTTAATGTTCAACTCACCAAGTGTCTGCCTATAGCTGGATTGAGAAGGAGGGGGGCGTCTGCAGTTGTCAGGCAGCGTCACCCCCCGTCCGGCGACAGCCTATCTCGACGGCTGGCCTCTGCTCTGCTGGCTGGTCTCCTATTTTATTCCCTCTATGCTCTGCTCTCCGAGTATATATTGGGGAACCTAGTAGCTAACTCTGCCCACAAGTAGGTAGCCCGAGGCTCTCTACGATACCACTCCTTAAACGTCGGCATGTTTGAAGGCCAATTATCAGATTAGCAGAAGCAAGGTGAAATTTGCATGATCTGACCTCAGGTCACTTGGGGTCATTAACGCTTAGAGGTGTGAGTTTCAGGCCGACAAACTGGCGCCTCTCAGATCCTTGTCTGTGACTCTTGAATTATATATTTTTTTAAATAAAACTAAACCAAACACCTTTACGGTGTTACAACTCTTTGTGTCATGGGGCAGGGTCACTGTGTCATTGGGCAGGGTCACTGTGTCATGGAGGAGGGTCACTGTCGTGGAGGAGGATCACTGTGTCGTGGAGGAGGGTCACTGTGTCGTGGAGGAGGGTCACTGTGTTGTGGGGCAGGGTCACTGTGTCGTGGGGCAGGGTCACTGTGTCGTGGGGCAGGGTCACTGTGTCGTGGGGCAGGGTCACTGTGTCATGGAGGAGGGTCACTGTTTGTATCATGGGACAGGATCACTGTTTGTGTCGTGGGGCAGGGTCACTGTGTCATGGAGGAGGGTCACTGTTTGTGTCATGGGACAAGGTCACTGTTTGTGTCGTGGGGCAGGGACGCTGTTTGTGTTGTGGAGGAGGGTCACTGTTTGTGTCGTGGAGGAGTGGCACTGACAATGCCAGTGTCACTGACAATGGCAGTGGCAGTGACAATGGTAGTGACAATGGCACTGGCAGTGACAATGGCAGTGGCAGTGACAATGGCAGTGGCACTGACAATGGCAGTAGCATGATTATTGTCCTGGACAATAACATAGGTAAAGGCCAATGGACAATGGCCTGGATAATGCCATGCAGAATGGCCTGGAAAAGGCCATGGATGTTAGCCTGAGCAGTGCCCAGGGACAGTGTCCATGGATACTGGCCTAGCAACCTTGTGTCTACCTCGTGGAGGTTCCGGGGATCAATGGCTCTGAGGCCCCGAGTCCAAC